TTTGCTATCATATATTTAAAGAATTCCTTATTGTTTGATTTGACTCTCTCAGCCAACCCTTTTTCACATACAGTTTTTGCCCTTTTAACCAGCTCTCTCTATTTCCTATAGTCCCCCAAGTCCTTATTATTTCCAGTAAGTTTAAATTTCTTGAATTTATTGTGTTTATCCCTAATATGATCTCTTAAACCTTTACTAAACCATACTGGCTTATTCTGCTCCATTGCCCTTTTTTTTTTCTCTAGATGCAGTCTCGCCTAAGTTTCTTACAGTTACACTGTAAATGTAACACAGTATTAGTATCATCATCTTGGTGTAAATAATTATTGTAGTAATTCATTATTTGTCCATTTGCTAGCACATGATGTTACACCATTGGTTAATAGTTAACACATTTTATCTGTCAGTGTCAGTAAAGATGTATGAAGAATTATTAAGAATGCCCTAACTGTTAATAAGTAAGTACCAATTTTATGACTTATCTTTGTTAAAAACTAAACTAGTGGTTTTCAGTATTCTGTGGTATATATCCTGTCAAAATTGGCCAATCGGTTTATCAGAAAATGCTTGAAAATCATTGAATGTGGCATTATTTCTATCATTTCTTATTCCTCTTTCAAAATTGCATAATTACACTTACAGTTGCAAATACATAACGATACTGCTGAAATCTGCAGGAAAAAGGTGTGGGAGAAGGTTATGTACTATAAACAAATATTTACAAAAAAACTACTACTACTACATTAAAAATATAATCCACAAATGAATCTAATAAGAAATTACATTAACAATAAAAATTTTCAAGTGGATTCATAATTTATTACAAAAATCTTTTAAAAGAGTATTTTTACTTTAGCAAACTTGTCTAAATTGTATACAAGAAATAAAAAATTCACCATTTTGTGCTGAATGGTATGGAGTTTATCATAGTAAACAGTGAAAAATGCAGCTGAATGGTTAATATATTATGCTCATTTCTCAAAGAACTTCATGAGTCATCTTGAACTTTGAATTTAAGAATAACAAAAACAAACGTGAAGAATTAAAAGGAAAAAAATTTAGATTTATTATGCTTAATAATAGTTTTAGCACATGAAACAGTTTGGATAATTTAATTTAAAGATAAGTAGTGTATTTCATTTTCCTTTTTACTATGCTGAACATATGTTAACTATTCCAGTTATTATTATTATTAGAGTACAGTGATGAGTGTAAAATTGTAAGTAAAGTACCTTGCCTGATATATGTGCTACATATGTCTAGGTACATTACTTATAACTTGACATTATTTTCCCATATATATTAATAATGAGTGTCCAAATTAAGCAGGCACTTGTGAAGCATTTGTTACAAAAAGGTAACCATTAAAACTATCCAATGGTAAAAAGCATTAAATGAAATTACCTATGATTTTTTTTTATATGTTTTCACCAGTTAAAACAGTGCTAGTTCCAATGGAAGCACAATATTTTAGTTTTCCTTCTGTGATAAATAATAATGAGTATCAAGTGTTTTTATAACCAAATATCACTTTTAATTGCTTAAATTAATAATAAATAAAGCACAAAAAATCAGAAATTAAAAAATATCAAACTGGGTCTGAAATATGTGGACAGATAATATTTGGTGCATTAGTGAACATTCCCAGGAAATTCCACTCACAGAAGCAGATAACTTCAATATAGAAATTTTCTTTAAAAAATTGATTTATTTCAATAAAAATGGGGCCCGGCATGGCCAGGTGGTTAGGGTGCTTAACTCGCAATCTGAGGGTCTTAGGTTTGAATCTCCATGCCACCAAACATGCTTGCCCTTTCAGCAGTGGGGGTGTTATAATGTGATAGTCAATCCCACTATTCTTTGGTAAAAAAGTAGCCCAAGAGTTGGCGATGGGTGGTGATGACTAGCTGCCTTCCATCTAGTCTTACACTGCTAAATTAGGGAAGGCTAGCTCAGGTAGCCCTCGTGTAGCTTTGTATAAAATTCAAAACAAAATAAAAATAGTCTTTAAATAACCCTTACCTTTTTACCTAGCATTTGAAGGCTTCAACTTGAATATTGAGGTCAAAATCAGCAAAAAATGTCTTAATTTTTTGTATGATCAACAATACATTTTAAAAAAGAAGTAATTAATGAGCGTGCTTGAATGGCCTTTTCCTGCCACTCCATTGTTCAACGCTGTGGTTCGTAAATATATCACTCGCCAATCACTGCAACTATAATGGATAGTTACGAACCTAATAAAGTCTACAGTGAACTAGCAGGGTACACGTATAAGTACACTAACATGAAGTCTTAAGTGTAGCAATTAGACCATGGGGTCTTAATGTTTGGTAAATTTTTAAAACAAAACCTAGCATGGAATTTGTGATCAAGATCTGCTTTTAACATTTCAAGTTTTACCATATTCTGTCACTTGCATGATTCAGAGCCTGAATACTAATTTAAATTTCCGAAACCCAAATTACACTTCACAGTACAACTTACAAGTCATTTATGACTTACTAATAGTAGGTCCTGTATAACAGTAAAACTTATTCACTCATAATTAACAGTGAACCTGGCGGTAGTGTAAGGCACTTTACCTCCACATGAAGTTTGCATTAAACCATATACTAATTTGTAATTCAGTGGAAGATTTTGATTACGGAGCATGTACCAGATGCCACCACCTTGTGTGGATGGATGATCTAATAACCTGACTTAAAAAAAATATTTGTTTTCTCATTACAGCTCGGAGAAATGTGGAATTTGTTTCCTAAATGAATATGCTCCATAACAAACAAAACCTTTAAGTCATCCACATAATATGGCCAAGTAGTATACATAAAAACACTTCCTTGAGAATTCCTTTAACCCTTTCACGATGGGCTTGTGCAACTTGCAGAAATCAAGTTATGATTTTCACTTGTGCAACAATACATGCGGTAACTCAGATTTCTTAAGTATCCTCTCAAAATATTCACAAATTGAGGCACAAACTGAGGTAACAAATACATGACCCTCATCTTTGTAGGCAACATGACGAAGGGTATAACACCTATGCCTCGGAGAGGTAGAATGATATGTCAATACATGACCCAAAAGGCTGTGGGGACCCTGATTCAATGACCTATTTTTAGCTTTTGCTGTGGATTGGGAAAAAAAGAGATTAACACAGTTGATTTGTTTTGCTCTTTTTAATTACTCGTTATAAATGCTATATTGTTTTGATAAAGAAAATGAAACAAAAGTCTTCTGAATAAAGAATGAGCTATACACATTGATTCATTTTGCCCTTTTTATTTATTTGTCATAAATTCTGTATTGCTTTAATAAAAATATGAAACAAAGAAGACTTCTGTTTGATATGGACCCTTTGAAAACAAGCAACAGTCATGAAAAAGGGTGCAAACTCGTTTTAAAAAAGATAATTAAAAAAAAGACCTCCTCCTTCCTGTTTTCGAAAATTTCAGATGCCAAGCATTTTTTTTTAACTTGGACTAATTATCTGTGAATTCATAGACTTTTGAGTTTTATGGGCCACCCAAGGTCATAATTTTAGAAACTTATAAATCCACTGAGAAAATACCTGGGTAGGGCTTTTAATTAGAATGACCTGTCTGTATATCCCAATAAATGCAAAAAATTGTTAACTCTATTGTCCAGTTCAGGTTCCTCAAAGTGTGTGGGTTATTCCCTGTTAATCGGAACTAGGCATTTGTTGACACATTTGAATATATCAGTCAAAAATATGCTTAAAATTTTAGAAAGAAGTGATGTTATTGGTCTTAGAAATCAAGAAATGTACTAAAAACAAGTTCAAATAGTTAGAAAAATATGTTAGTGTTGAGCTGAACTGTGGGTGAAATGTTTGCATTGTGACTTGTACACTCAAAGAGTGTATAAAGAACATTAATTTTGCCAAGACAGTATTGTATATAGACTGCAATGAACTGATGAATTATGTTGCTAAGACCATAGAAGAACACTGCAAGAAACTAACTATATGACATTTGGTGCTTCTAAGCCCGCAATGTCATCTTACGGTGTCAGTCTAGACCTAGTACTGAACATGATGCTAAAAGGGAAGAAGTTATTAAGTTCACTGTACCCCTGTGCAATTATATTTCTAACCAACAGGATGGATGGATTCAGTCTGTCTGTAAAGCAAAAATTAACCATTGAATTAAAAATTATAGAAAATAATAATGTACTTTTTTCTTCTCTAAAAAACACTTCAGAACTGAAATTTATTCAGTAAAAAAGTTTTATTTACTAAATTGTATTCAAAAAGAAAAAAAAAATTGTAACTTTTAATTTTGGGGTTGATCTCAGTGTACCCCCCAATGAAATTATTATATTGATAATTTCTTGAAAAATTTCTAATCATAGTATAGCACTCATAGCCCCTTGGCTTTTATTTGTTTTATTTTAGCGTGTAAGGGAAATATTTATTCCTCGTTTTAGTGTCAGTTTTAAATCTCGGTTGACTCGTCATTGATTTCCATAAAAAAGACAATGAACATAACTTGAATTCATAGTAAGCTAACCAAGGGGGAAATCACCTTATGTTGTAATTTCTTCTGCAGCTAAGAGATGGTTTATAAATATTTGTTAATTAAAGTTTAATTCCAAATGAAGACAATGTAAAAAGTTAACTTAACTTTATTCCAAGTAAAGAATAAGGGTAGAAAAAGTAGTAATCATCATCCTAGGTCACCATCATGGTGATAAGAAAGAAATTTTTCAGTAACCAGTACTAAGTTTTGGTTGGTGATGGAAAATGGTGAAATATAATTCTCTATTCATTCAGCATAGGTATAAGAATTTTTTTATTTAATTCACTATTTCACACTACTTTGTATTTTTATCTTGTTATGCATGAGTATTTATGCAAATCTTGTTTACCAGATAAAAAAAAAGGTAAATCAGTCCAGCTATAAAACAGTAATCTGGTATGTTTGTTTTTGTTTTTAATTTTGTCATGGTTCAATTGGAAATTGCATATACAAGGTTGCAATGATTGTTTTAATGTTAAAATATAGCAACTGTTTTTTTATACCCGATGCCAGTACCAAGTAGTGGATATTGTGGCAGTTATTGGAACAGGAACATTTTATTGTCCATGTAGTCATGCATAAATGAACATGTACAGAAGAGTACAGATACCATAAAAAATTGTGGAACACCTAGTCAGCATTCAGGTTTATAGAAAAGAGAGTGGTATTGGTAGTTGACTCCTTATCAGTGTATTGCATTTTTCTGAACCCTTCTGAAATATAGTGGGGAAGGTATGCTAATGTGGCAGAAGGAAATATTATAGGAAAGAGGAAATTAAAAGGAAGATTCTGGCTAATTGTCTTGCAACTTCTGGAATGTGGAAGGAGCAATGAGGTTAACACAAAGACTAAGTTATTTGATTAATAATAAAAATTTTCTGGGAGGGAAAGGCCTCAAGGTTAATATATAAATGGTAAATATAATGTGTTATTAGGGGTAAGATAAAACATGATGGTCCCCTGGTCAAAGCCAATTTGTAATGTTGTGCTTAATTGAATTCTAAATGTGACTTTCAAGTCAAGAGCTTTCAGGTGTAGAACTATTATATTCAAAATAATAAGAAAAAAAAACATTTGATATATGTCTTTTTCAAAATTTTTTTGTTTGGTGGGAAAAATTGCAAAAACCTGCATTTATATCTACTTGGTTTTATTAAAAACTTCTGATAAAAAAAATAGCTTACTTCATCACAACTTACAATTAACTCTTTCAGCATGGGCTGTTATAGTTTTCATCTATAACTTTTAAATCAGTAAGCGTACCTTGACAAATTGTTGCAGATTATCAGTAAACATTACGAGGCTTTTGCGCACAAAATATCATATTTTTTGTTAAGTTTAAGATTTTTTAAGTAATGTTTTTCTTTTCGATTGTTGACTATCCAACATGCAAAGTAATTTTGATTTTAAGATTAAAAATACTTTTATGCATCAGCAAATTTTCAATTTTCACGTGCAAAATCTTTATAATTTCCAGATAATTATCAAATGTTTTTAAGAAATATTTTATCTGTTATTTTCAGTATTGATGCTCTTTATTGGTTTGGTCGATTTGACTGACCTTGTAATCACCATTAGAATTAGGAAATAAATATAAATTTTCTTTTTTTCATTCTAGAATGAATACAAATTATAACACGTATGTTTAGTTTAAATAGCTTAAATCTCATAAAATTATACATTATATATATCTGTTATTTTTATTATATTGACTTTTCAGCTGTGCCTGGTTAACATTACAGAAGTTGCAGTGACGCGGTGCACGTGCACTTGTTACCGTATCGAAGAATATAAAACATGCCTTTACAAAATGACTTGATTTGGCTATGTCTTAGTGGACCAGTATTTTGTAAAATACAGTCACATTCAGTTATAATGCATTATATATGTATAAACATTATTACTATTTACAAAAGTTCATAAACTTATTTTTCTTAAAACATGGAACAGTAAATAAAGAAGTATAGCAAACAATTATCTCTTATAGTTATGAACTTTGTACTTGTTTGCTGCTTGATGTAAGTTGCTAAGCCTTATAAAATTTTACACGTGGAGGATGTGAAATATAATAATTTTTTGGGGTTTTATATATATATACATTTTGAAATAACGAAAATCATAAATTACAATATCAGTACCACAGAATTCCACTATAATTTGTCAAGCTAAGGAATTGAGCTGTACTTGGGTCTACAAAATATGAAATTTTGAGCTCACTAATATCTTACATTACCACTTAGAATCTAACATGAAAAGAAAGAGTTTACTGAGCAAATACTTCGCAGAAGCTGCAAAAACCACTAGGAGGACATTCTGAACTTTCGATAGGTTATACATGCATTATTGGGCAAAGTAGGTGTACATGAGTAAGTATTTTCAAAAATTGAAGAGATGGACAGGGCCACCTTGGTTGATTCAATAAATATATTAATATCTCAAAATGGGAAAAATACAAGGTTCTTATTTCATATTCTAGCTTGTTGATATTGGTAATTTGAGTATCTAATTTGTAAGAAACTATAGACTTTGTATTTGGACACCACAAACATCTAATTTGAACCTTTTCTGCATTAAACATACCATGTGGCATACAAAAATTGATATTTGGGTGTGTTTTTAATATTTATTTTTTTAAATTAAGAAATTAACTAATGTGTAATACTAAAATTTGAATTATAATCTTCAATTTGATACCAAACTTATTGACATAAATTCATAAAATAGTAGTTCAATAAAATTTTGAATGCAAGTCAACAAATGCAATGACGTGGCCCTTGACCCATGACCCATGTCAGTATGGTTAACTATATATTAATAAAACTGATGATATATAAAATAACCAGAACAGTTTAATATCATAAATCAATTCACAAGAAAACCAAATCCTGTAATAAATAAAGTGCATTTAATCATCAACTGGATTCCTTCACTATTAATAGTATTTTTGGCCATAGTCCCAGTAACAGACTTTGTAGTACAGGTATCAGTCCATAGTAACTATGATTATTAAATTGTGATGTTTATACTAGGCAAAATTTGTTTTTCTTATATTACTTATATTTTTATCACCTTTGAGTAATGTTTGCACTGTAAGTAACCTGCAGAAAATAATACATTCAAAAACTTTTTGAACTATGCTAAAAACATTGGAAATGATATTCTCAAAGGTTTTTTTGTTAATAATATAAACATTAATTGTGTCATTTCTTTACAGCTTGAATATTGAAAGGAACATTCTAGTAGGAAGAAATGTCTTATTTCTTTGATGCACACACTAAATTTACTTTTCTTTCTTTATATAGTGGAAAACAAACGTAAGTCAGATGAACAGTTGGAAAATAGCACTGCCAAAACAAAAAGGATGGAGAGTATACATAAGTGTTCCGACCTTATTGTGCTTGGATTGCCTTGGAAAACTACAGAACAGGACCTGAAGCAGTATTTTGAAGCTTATGGAGAAGTTTTAATGGCACAAGTATGAACAAAAGTATTTATATATATATATAAGTGGAAGAGTTCTGTATTGGGTATGGAAATACGTATGTATAATAGTATTGATGGTTTTGGCTAGAATAGAATTAGTATGTGAAGAGTCTTGCAGAAAAAAAAATAAAATTTTGGACTCTGTCAATCTGGCCCTATTTTGTTTCTTGAGTCACTCATTTTCCTGCATTGTAAGTTATTCCACAATCATACTACTAGTGATGATTGTGTGTATGTGTTGGCAAAAGTTAGAGGGAGAGATTTGTTTGGGAATTCTTGGAAATTTTCAGAACTGGCAAAATATTTTGCTCCCATCCACATTTATATTTTTGTTGTCTGTGTGTATTTTGCTTTAAAGTTTTTGTAATCATGGAAATACAATCATATCCTTTATACTGTGTTATAACTGTTCTCTTTGTGTTGAGAGTTTGCTCAAGTCATTAAAACCCTTTCATTAATTCCGATTCATAGTTTTACTCTTCTGATGGTAGCGTACAATTAAAAGATAGTTAGTCATGGCAATGATCTCCAGTTTATAGCTTGGAAGCATTTTTGTTCATGGAAATAATAGAAACCACAGTCAAATATTCTGCATACAGAGGATACTTCTGACTGTAGTGTATGTTGACTTATACTTGTTGACAAGGGAATGCAACCTGTCGTGTGTGTATCAAAACATAATACTGGCTGCTGTGAAAATGTATTTGAACAGTGATTTAATATAACAGTTGTTTCAACATTACTATTTAGGGAATATATTTGATGGAAATTTAAAACTATGTGTACATTATTCACAATTCTTTTTGCTACAAATTCAGTTTTGATGAGTGATTGGTTGATCTCTGAGCCTTACTATTGATACGGTTTAAAAGATATACCAGATATTTTCATTGAAAAGGATATTCGTCAAAAACACAATCTTATAAGAAATAAATGTCAACCTCCTCTCTTTTTCCCGAAAACAAGAGTACAAAATATCCATAGACACCAACAAAATCAACCAAGAACGGCACAAAGAGGAAGAAAGTCTTCCAAACACCTACCTTGGTGATGAAGAGGTCTCTTCCTCACTCTTCTTTTTCATGTCTCCTCACAGATCTCCCTGCTTCTTGTGGCATCATCATTACCAAAGTTAAAAACTTTCAATTTTTGCTCGCGTAAACCTCAGAACCCTTAAAAGACTAGCATTACTAAATTCTATTTCATGAAGCGGGGTGAAGAGAAACAAAACTTTAATCTAAATTATTGCCATGATTGGATAGGATATTTCCATTGATCATATGTGCAATTACTGAAAATAATTTCTGGAGTTATCAAGTGATTGTATTTTTAAACATTACTAACAGTGATAGGCAGTAACTGTCCTTATTCATATGATATTACCATCATAGAATTGTTATGATCACATATTTATCATGTTCAATTAGAACTTATAAAAAAAAAAGTTAAAATGAGGAAGAATCCACTAAGCTCTTTACTCTTCTCTTCCATATTTAGAACTGCTGATTCTAAGTCTTTTAGTTGGAAATAATGTAAGAAATCAGTGCTTTTAGAAATATAAATGATTTATTTTGAAGTTTTAATGTAAAAAAATCTAAATTAGATAATACACATCATGACATTCGAAGAGCTGGCTTGAACAGTATGATAGTGGAGGTTTTGTGTGTAATGTTTTTTTACTTCTGGGGGGGGGGATAATGTATCTTTCCATCAGTATCAAGTCTGATTTATAAGCTGTATATGGCTGCCCACATATAGCAACCTTGAAGGCTGGTACAAACCTCATCTTCATCAGGTCAACATTTGCTTTGTCTGCCATATTAACAACTTTCTGAATTGGACCAGCTGAAGCCACAGAACTTCCTTTTACTTTAGTTCCTCCCTCACATCCTTGATGAATTTCCCTGACTGATTTCTGAGGTTTTTACTGTCTGGAGTTTCATGGTTTTAGTACCTACAAGTACAATACATCAGAATCTTAATTCAAGTGTGAGGCATTACTTTATTTTGTAAGTGATAATTAGAAAATAAGGTTAGTTTACAAGACAGTAATAATAAACTTTGTGAATTCATCAAACCTAAATCATCCTACTCTTACACATGTCTTTTACATAAAAAATCTTACATGCAGGCCTAAAATTAAGAAGCATTGTGTGATCATTTTTTATAAAACTTTCAAAGAGAATATCTGCTACCTGTAATAATTTATCGTTCCTTATAAGAAATTATTTTTGTGCAGATTAATTATAAGTTACATTTCTTTTGAGATGTAGAATTTATCTTCAATTAAGGAGTTACTCTGTTTTCCACATGCTTCAATTTGCTGCTGAATCATCTGCAGTATGTACAAAACATACTATTGACACTTACAGAATTCTAAAAGTATATACAAACTCTGGGAGAGTATGCTTTTTTTGTAATATTTTTGTGATTTCGATATTACAGTTTAAAGTATATAGTATAGTGATGGTGTTCTTTTAGTTTAGTATCTTTACTTTCTTCAGATTTGTTTTTTGCAAGTGACATTGATTTGACTGATAAATGTTTTTTATAATACTAATACATATGATTTATTTTACAGAGGTATTAACTGTAACCAAACTGTAGCAGACCGTATGGTTTAGTTTTTATAATTCATCAGGAAATTTTGTTACATTTCTTGGCTGGTATTAATAAAATTAATATGAATCAAGTCATATATATGAGCATAATAATACATGCATTGATATCCCTTCAAAATTCCAATAAAGGCTTCATGAAACTCTGAAGCTTTTAAATTGTTGGTGAGATAAATAAGTCCCTTCTCTCATTCTTTTTTTCATTTTTATTTATTGATCGAAGAATTTGTGAATCACAAATTAAGCCTATAAGGAACCGAAACTTGGCTTGCAACAATGGAAGGTCAATACCAAACCAATTAAGCAAACAGTTATGTAACATTAAATTAGTTTAGTTCTGGATTTTAAGCCAACTTTGATTCTCTGTATGTTTAAGTGATAACTCAAATTCTTTAATTAAAACATGTATACAGATATAATGAATTTAAGAACAAAAGTGCTTTTAATTTCACTATGTACTGAAGAATGAGATAATCTGTGAAAAAAGTATCGGGGCAGGATTTTTCAAACTTATAGATTCAAGCAATACAAAATCACTTATAGATGGTACAGTCTCACTTAAGATGTATATACTTTCTTTGAGAAACTATATGTAGGAGTTTGTCATTTTGTACATTCTCAGGTGAATTGTACAATACTGTTATTTTGCATGCTATAGTACTTTCAAATTTAAGATTATACTTTGTTTAACATATTTCTAGCATTAAACACATTTATTGTTTTTAAAATATCCATAAGTGCATGAAATAGAAATGATTCACTTGAAAATAAAAACAAAGTTTCAGTTTGGAATAATGAATTAAAACATGAATATTTTGAAGTTTGATATATAACATACACATGCACATGTATACATAGCTACATTGCAACAACAGTATATATATTTCCTTTAGTGTGACCTTGATTATTATGATTTATAATATATATTTTATAACAATTTTTCTTCTGTCATGACAGGTTAAAAAGGATCCTAAAACTGGTAAATCAAAAGGGTTTGGTTTCATGAGGTTTGGAAATTATGAATCTCAGGTTCGTGTACTATCAAAACGTCACATGATTGATGGAAGATGGTGTGATGTGAAGATACCAAATTCAAAGGTATGTTACAATTGTGATTGAAGAAGTATTTAGTACTGCATCTCTATATAATAATAATAATCGTTAAGTTATAGTTGTGTTAATGGTACACTAATGAAGTTTGAAACAAAAGCAAAGCTATCCAGCTTCTAAAATCTGTAAAATAAAATAGGCTAGAATGTTTACTTGCTGCTAGTCAGATAAAGCCAATTTAATAGTGTGTCTCACGAAGTCATAGTGTAAAAATGAATGAAGATGGTATTTGCAAGCAAAATTTCCAATAATGAACCCAATTGTAGTATATATATACTTGAAGTTTATATCACTCTTCGGAAATGAAACGTATATGATAAACCCTGTAAAATAAGTTATAACAGGATTATGTTTGTAAATCAGTTTTAATAACACGTAGAATTTTGCACTTTTTTTCTAAATAGCAAGATGGCCAAGCAACAGAACTCAATAGGAAGGTGTTTGTTGGTCGCTGCACTGAGGACCTTGCAGCAGATGACCTCCGAGAGTTTTTCTCCAAATTTGGTGAGGTAACTGATGTATTTATCCCAAAACCATTCCGGGCTTTTGCCTTTGTGACCTTCATGGATCCAGAGGTGGCCCAAAGCCTGTGTGGGGAGGATCATATCATTAAAGGCACTAGTATTCATGTTAGCAATGCTATGCCTAAGAATGAGTCTGGAGGTCGCCATGGACGTATACTTGGGCGAATGAATGGTCCAGGGAATCACAGTGGAATGGGTGGCGTACAAATGAGAGGGTTTGGAGGTGGTTTAGGACAAAATAGTCCTTTTGTTGGTGGTCAGATGCCTCAACATGGGAATATGGGAATGGGTGGTGGTGGTATGTGGAACCAAGGAGGGGGTGGAGGGAATCGTAGTGCAAATTTATCTAATTTAGCAGCCCTTGGAAATAGTTTAGGCTTAGGAACAATGGGAACTGGAGGAAATCAGCCTGGGGGTCAGGGAAATACTGGTGGTCAGGGAGGGGTCAATACCATACCTCCTACACTTAGTATGGATGCACTCAACCTTGGAGCAGCCATACCGTTAGGTTCAGCCATGGTTGCAGCGGCCCTAGGACAAGCGGGTCTCGGATTGTTTCGAGGGAATTTTCAGTCGGCAACAATGGGTCAAGCAGAAAATCAAGGGATAGGGAATCCCCAGAATCCCCATATTCCAAATACAACATCAGCACCATCACATGTTACAGCAGGTGGGGGAAATGCTCAGAGGTCAGGGTTTCTAGAATGGATGAATCAAACCCAGGGTTCAGGGGATGCAAGCAACAGCAATCCAGGACAATGGCCTCAGCGAGAGGTAAAACAAGGGTTTGGAATGTCAGTGTCCCCATGAAAGTAGCTAGTGTATGAGTGGAACAGTGTGTTGGTATGTGTGAATCTGTCTTAATATGTGAAATGTCTCATTGTGTGAAGAATTGAGGTAAATGTGCTCATCTTGTACTGGTTTAACTTTTCATTCATTGTGTTCTAATCCTTTAAGCACCATAAATATTTATCTCACTTATGCCTTATCAGAATGTTTTACTGAAGGAAGAGATATTTAATAACCCTTTTTTTATCCCAGGGCAACACTATGGCTACATATATATTTATATTCATAAAATTAATAACTAAGAAACAAAACTATTTCTGAAACATGGAATTTCAAACACGAAGCATGATAACCATGGACCTAAAAAAAGGTTTCACATGCTTATTAGCATAATGCTCAATGAAAGAACTAGTGAGTATTTGTCTCGCTGTATTTTTCTGTTAAGTTCTGTAATTCTTTTATAAGTTGTATGCAGGTATATAAAAAACCAATGACCTATAAGATCATACTGGAATGAAGTTTCCATAAGAACTATTAGTTTCAAATTCCAAGCACATTTTTTCTTCTGAAGTGAAAGGGTACTACCAAACTAATTATTTCAAGAAACTAAACAGGCATTTATGATTTTATTAGCTCTAGAAGAATGGAGGCTGTAAAACAAAAAAATGCAGCGAGTTCTTTTTGATGGCATATGGCACAGCCAATTTAGATAAGTTCACTGTTTTCAATCTAGTTGATCTAGAAATAAGCAACAAATATCAATAAGGATCATAGTTTTGTAGCTTTGTTTTGTACAATGACAAGTTTTACCTACAAGGGTGGAAAATGTGAATATTTCTACTTCCAAATAAAAATTACAATTGGGGGTACAAAAGTCAATATCACAATTAGTTTCATTTTGTAGATAATTTGAGGGAAATATCAAACAGAATTTGTTAACACTTAATAATGTTATTTGCCCTATTAAAAAAACAAAAAACATGACATACTGGACTGGTAAGGGTTATAGAGTTCGGCTGAACAAATGATCCATTCTGTTGTTTAAAACAGTCATAAACAGAAATGGGTTTACTTCTTCTTACTATGAATTTGCAGTAAAAGATCTTATCATAAACAAGTTTTCCAGTTAGAAATATCTGTATGTTTAGGGGAAAAAATTTCTTTAGCAATTTTTGAAATATTCTGGTTTCTTTGTAATGTTTAAAGCCAAAATGGAAAATTGTAAAACATCTTCTGTTGTAAAGTCTGATGTGTAATCTGTTGAAAAAAGTGCTGTGTTGAGATTTCTTTAATATTTTTTTGTCTAATGCTGATGATTTTATATTTTGGAATTCACATGATCCATCTTGTATCACAGTGTGATACTTGACTGAATTCAATTGGCCCATGTTAGTACGCTGATGCATACTTGCCCATTACGAAAGATTAAAAAAATAAAACTTTTTCTGATATATCTTCTTTTGCTAATTGTTAGTTATTAACAAAAATATATTGAAAGAAGAATGATATAACTTTTAAAAGATAACAAGGAAATGTTATTGTAATATGAAATACTGCTAAAGCAAGAAACTTTAAATTACAATTTTCAAGTCTTTTTATTATTATTAATCCATGTTTTTTGACAATTATTTTGTTTCTTGCATTTTAGTTATGTGTTTGTACTTTTCTTATGTGTCATACCACACGATGCACACTTTTTTATAATGTAGGGTGTGTTTCTATTAGTTATTGTTGAAAATTGACATATAGAGTAAGTGTGGTTTGGATACTGGATAAAATTATAGTACGTTAACCTTGCAAGTTCGACTGTAACATCTAATTGTGTATTTGGTGAGAAGCATAGTTATGTACCTGCACATTAGCTAATATTACTTACACGTTTACCGAGAGCATTTTACAGATGATTTTTATGTTTAAACCAAGTGAACTGATATTGTTTGTAGCACAGGTAGTACCTACTTTACACGTTTTTAATTGAACAACATAAACTTGTTTCACACTTCTTATAAATAAAGATTAGCTTATGCACTTAAATGTCAGAGGTGAAAGCACTAAATTTTGAATTTTAAAACTGAAAAGTGACACATGAGAGTTAAAGTGTAATGGATTGTGTAAAGCTTCTTTTTTTTTTTAGTGTGTGTGTGTGCAAAGAACATAGTTATAACAAGTTCCTATGTTTACTTATCTGGATGGTGCACCATACAAAGGGCCCAGACTACAACCATCCTTATGGAATCTTCTCATTTTAGTACTCTGTTTTTCTAAGTAGTCTGCCTCATTCGATTGTTGTATGGTTAAAAAACATTAATCTATTCTGGAATGTTAACCATGAAGCATGTTTACCATATGTACTTGTGTATGGTGTTTGAAACTAGTTAAAAAGGTTGAATCTAAATATGATTTCATTATTGTGTTTTTCTCTCTCCTTTGTATGTCTTAGATTAGTTTTTGTTGCACAGATATTTGAAATTTTTGAACTAAAGAAAAATCGTTTAGAAATCATTTTATGATATTGACTGAGGAAAGTTTGAAACTGTCAGATTTAATGCTACAGGTTTTTATTTTTTTGCAGTTTAATTTGCTTTCTGATTACATGATAATATGGTTGTGTGATGATCAACATAAAAATTCACTTGAAGATATTTGGAGATAATCCAAATTGTAGTGGTTGACGAAAGTGTAGATCTGTGGATGTAGATTGTAACACAGTGTAATGATCATATATATATATATTATCAGCCTCATATAATATTTAATCAACATGATTAGCAGAAAAGAGTTTTAACTGATGCAGTTTGAAGTGTGTAACATTTGAAAATTTAGAACTTCATTTTGGTTACTTAATTAATTGCATTACTTAAGAAAAAAGGTGTCTTTCAGAACCTTTAATTTAATTAAGTACAGTAGATTGAAAGGAAATTTGCTATTGAGTATGCATGTTGTATGAAGCAAATGAGTGATTTTTTTGTGTATAAAGTGTTTGATAATTTGGAAGTCAGCTATACCTTCTTGGAAAATATGGTTTCAGATGTTTCTTCAGACTGAAATAAGAGGATCTATTAGAATTTTCAAACGGTTAGAAGTCTGTATGAAAAATATACTTTTTGTCAATTTTGATTGGATGACAGGTGTGATTTACAGCTGTCTTTTTTTGTTACTTTTCTAATCCTGAATGTTTGATAAAAAAAAATTCTTTAATATCAAATACAGTCAAACCTATTAATAAGGACATCTTGAACCCTTCTCCCCCCCCCCCCTTCCCCAGTTCACATTCTTTTCTACTACAGTAAGTGTAACCCAATTTGTTTTGAATGTTGCTGGAGAGAAGGGAATCTTATGAATAAGAGATGAAAAATGTTTGGGTCTGATGGCCTAGTTGCAAAAAAAATTAGAATATTTGTTTATGAATTTCTATTATACTTTAAAGTGAGTTGAGTTAGGCATTATGAGGTATTGAAAGATGACCACTCTAACAGGTTTGTCTGTATATTGTTTGTTTCTATGAACATAACACTCACTGGTATGTAGTGCTACTTATTTATTGTGTGGTATTCTCTTCTCTGTGAAAATGTATGCAGTGATATCAGATGTGTGTACAATATTTAAATAAAACTTAATTAAAGCTATTTGAAGGCTAATTCAAACTGAGTGTGAAAAGAGAAGCATGTATAAAAATGAGATGTACATGTACACATAGTCAATGAGAAAATATTTTCTTTGTTTGTAAGTGATGATTCAAAAGTTAATCACTTTTAAAATTTGAACATTGAATAGATTTGGAAATTTTGGTCATGAGATATAAAAGAGTGTTATGAGCAGAACAGTGTATGGCTCAAAAGTATTTTGTAAAAGGACCAATCTCATTTGGTGTAACTATTTGTTGTTAAATTCAATACTGACTTGTGGCAAAGGTTATTTCTACAAAGGAAATTTTACTTGTAATTGATTTGTTTCAGAATTTGTTACATTTGTGTTGTCTGGTATATTGCTTCGACCTTGGATAGAACTTAGTACTGAGAATGAAATAATCCATATAATTTCATGTTTGTCAGCTTTTTCTAGGTTAGATGATCATTCTTATAAATATGTCTAATAAAATGCTGTGATCTGTGTGTGATTAAGTTGCTGTAAAATAAGATAAGTTGTAGCATTTTGTATGTTTTCAGTTAATAGTATAATGACTCGTACCTCTAGTTTCAAAACACTTATGTCGAGGGTTGCATGGTTTTAACTGATTCATGCTTGGCTGACATGTTGTTTTGAAAGTATGAGCTCAAGTGTAGAGGACAGCAAGAAATTAGACTTAAGGTATGGGAAATGAATTCTTTGTTTCAAAGTCACAAGTAGAAGACAGAAAGTTTCCTCGTGTTTGTGTGACAAATTTTGCTGATAGTGTTATCCCAGACACAGACATGAAATCTATTATACCCTGTTGTCTTTCTTTGTTAACTAAAAAATTGGAATGTTGAAAACATCATGGTTATGTGCAAAAAATCTAGTATAAGTGTGCTTGAGGTTGTCTACAACTGGAGATGTGTCATGCAGCAGAGCGGTGGTCTTGTGCGGAATCCTGAATGTAAAGAAACTTGAGTGTTGGAATGTGTGTAGTTTTGCTTTTCTTCAATAAAACTGACTGTTCTGGATAAGAATGGCTGTTGTCTTGTGTGCATTTAAACATCTCCTTTGCAGCAATGGTATACAAGTTTATTTTTATTGCATGTAACTAATTATTTACAGATTTTAATTTCGCAACTTGCTGTTAAATATTTACGACTCTAAAAGCTACAAATCCAACAGATTCAAGATTTTACCATATTTAATATTCTTTTGAAATGATGCATATACATGAAAACGTATTAGTTGTAAAACCACCTGTTAAGTTAGAAGGGGTTGTGTCATTATGGATAGTACAACTACCTCTCAGCAACAGACAGTTGGAAACCTATATTTGTGTACTGTATTTAATTATTACACTAAAAAACATTCAACAACTGCTGAAAAAAAGACCCATTAACCTCAAAATTTGTGATACAAGGATGATAAAATGCAATCACTAATATCATGAATGCATACCAGAAAGATACATTCAAAGGTATTTAGGACAAACCAAATTGTCTCACATGACATTCTTTACATTAATGTCATATGAGATATGAATTTAACGTTGGAATAATTTTTGATAACGAATTTTCTGCATGTTATTACATGGAACTAATATTGTATGAAATATCATTAAAGAGCATATTTCATTTATATTGTGTCCAAAATGGTTTAAAGATGTCTTCTGAGTTGTATAAAAAGTATAATTGTATATTATGATTGCAAAATTTTGAGAACAATTTTTATTTATAGTAAAGTTTTACGTTGGGTTCATCAACATGGTACTTTTTAAGGATTGAGTGCCATGTTTATGTGAATACTTATTAATTGTACTTTTCCTCCTTTCTTTTTGAAGGCAGCAGTTATACATAAAAATTATTAACTGAATGCTTGTTTTAATAAAGGTAAAAAAAATTAATTTTATGGATATCTGTTCCCAAATTTGATCTGATTTTAAAGGCATATGTATTTAAGTATGCAATAGTAGTGTAAGAAAGTTAGATCTGTGATATTACCTAGTCTAATAACTAGATGTACTGGGAGATTATCTGTTATTTTTTATTAAAACTATGTTAATCTGATAGTAAAAAAAAGCATTTATTAGCAATGAACTTCACAACGTTTTGTATTACCTATCACCTGGCAAGTAGTTTTAACTCTTTTAACCCCATAATTTTTTGCATGTTCTGCTGGAGTTATTTTCATGATGTCCTAATAATTATCACCATACCTTATAAAATTTCCAGTCTATTTATAAAAGGTGGATAATAATATGGCTTGGATTAGTTTTCAGCCAAAGAAACATAAATTTATCAGACATTGTTACTGTCTGATGGGTAAATCAGGATTTATGGCCTGATGCTGGTAGCATCTGCTCGAGTTTGAGGGGTTACGAGCTATTTTAAATCTGAACAGGTAAATTACTAAAAGCCACACAGGCTACTTTAAGATTTAATTTTTATTAAAAAGTAGAATTGCTTAAAAGAGCAATAGTAAAGTAGTGTTATATAAAAGTTGATTTGAGAATGAGATGTTACACAATGAAAAGATGTGACTGTTCATTTTGGCAAAATCTGCGTATGGCTTACCTACAAGTCATGTTCATTGTAGTTTTTCATCATATGACCTCGAAGGCCATTGTGCTTCATTGGTCTGTTAGTGTTAGCTTGGAGTTAAATTTCAGACGAACTGAAAAAAGCTAGCCCCAATGGTCATTAAAAACACCAGTATCATTTGCAACATATTTATTATAGAAACTGATTATTTTTTTTATTATTTATGGTATTAGTTATACCACTATTAATGTTATTTTCACTTGAAATATAATGTTACAGTAACTACTTATAGGCTAATATACTCTGTACTAGTTGATTATAATGTTTTTTGAGAATTTTGTTTCTTGTTTGTGTTAGTATTTTAGCACCAACAGTATTACCATTAAATATGTCCATTTATACGAACAACAAAAATAGTTGTTTTTTATGGACTATGTATTTTAATGACCCAGTTATGTTTGAAGTTTATTCTTTAAATATTTCTCTCTGTATATTTGTGTCCAATGTAATAATGTACAGTTTGGTTTTTATTTTTTTATTAATTCATTAGTTGTGTAGGTTGGTTTTATGTATTTAATAATTATTATTTTTCCTCCTCCTCCTCCTTCACATGGTGGTTAGGGTATTCCACTCCCAATCTACATCTAACAAGATCAAAATTAGGCACTGCATGTGCTCAAACCTTCAGTCATAATTATAGTATTACGATAATTCCCACTATTAAAGAGTTGGCATTTGATGCTACTGGCTAGTTACCTTCGTTTGTGTCAGAAATACAAAATTAGGGACAGCAGCGGATAGCCTCAGTAACTTTGCTATAAACATAACATTTTTATTTTTTTGTTCCTGCTACTAGTACTTCAAGCTAATTACTATGATAACTATTTCCTTAATTATAAGCTATGTTTTGATGTTTCGTATTTACAATAGTTGATGTAGGGATTTGTATTGCTTATTTTAATATCTTTATAAATATGATCCTATTTTTAGAACATTGATGGCATATTGCTAGCATTAAAGCTGCTTGGGAAGATGTTAATGCCACATCTTACATGTAAACAGTAATTTTTGGTCTTTTTTTATTATTATTATTATAAGTAAAAGTACCCACCCACAGTGACAGGAAAAGGTTAAGTTAATCTATCAAGTTAAATTATTTCATGGACTTTAAAATGGTTAATTGTGTTGCACTCTTGGTTTCACTCAGAGCCAAAGTTCTGATCTACTTATACCGCCCACTGCAAAAAGTAAACGTTGAGCATTTCAGTCATTCTAAAAGCCACTCAGGAATAATATACGGTAAATCTACATTTTTATCTTTAAATTATGTCACATTTTTGAAAAGTGGGTGATAGTGTGATTAATTCCTAACAATTTAATGAAAATATTCCTATTTGTGAAATAAAATTTGGCATCAACATTATTCATACCTGTTCTCCCGTCATTTCAGAAATGAATGTTGGGCTTTGCCTGTGAGCGCAGCTTTTAAAACAGGAGACAGATACTGCAGTTCACAATGTATATATTTAGTCATAAACAGATAAGTATATTAGATGAAATTTACTCACAGTTTTCAAGGTATTTAAAAGAGCAATTCTTTTTGTAAAAAAAAACTGGTGGGAAAGTTGAATTTTGTTCCCCCATTTTTGAAAATGGAAGACCCATTTGATACTTTTCTGATGGTGATTCTATTAATCATCTAATGGAAAAACTTCACTGAAGTCACAATATTCAAGTGATAAACAGATTATGAACTTTTTCCTAAACTTATATTCATGTAATACAATATATATTAATGTATGATGATAGTTTTGTTTTCTAGACTATAGAACATGTGCATTTCGCCCAAAAGTATGAACCATTTTTTTTGGTTTCAAAGTTATATGAGAAGTTATCTTCATAGTCATTTAGGAAATACTCATCTTTATAAAATACTGGGGGATTATCTTTACATTTCTATTATTTTAAGTAAGTCTTAATCTTGAAACACTAGAATCAAGTTTGAATTGATAGATGTACAATGGGTTTGTTTTTCTTTTTTTTATGCACTCCTGCATTAGACCCTCAACAGAACTTTTCATATAAAGACAGCATTGATCTTTTCTGATTGCAAGGTATTATTATTATAACAACATATGAACAATTTTAATAAAGCTGCAAAAAGCTATATATGAATGTGTAGGTGGATATATATATATATAAGGTTCAGTGAAGCTACAAAAGAACTGACACAAGTGTGTAGAGATGTAGATTAGTGTTTTCTTAACACACACATACTTTAAGTTATCCACAAATGAATTATTCTTGAACACAGACATTTGATTTCAGTATAGCTAAAAGAACAGTCAGTATTAACCCTTCAACATGTGCTCAATTTTGGTAATCCAAAAAAGATCATCATAAATAGACATATTAATATTGGTTTTATGTACACAATGATTCTAATATTATTTCTTAGTACTTGCATATACTTATGAGAGTCACTCAACAATTAAATGTAGACAAAGAATACATAAATATAGTTTTCTTACGCACAAAAACTGAGGTGATTATAAAGAACAACAAATCATCATTAAATTTAAACTGGAGGTTTGTTGAGATTGTTAAGTTTTTTTATATATATATACAAATTGTTGGATTTTTAGGGGTATATCCTTTTTATTAGTAAATTTATTTATTCAGATAGACTCAGAATTTATTTTGCAGTGAAAAGTAAAAAAAAATGTTTAAGTAAAATGCATAATTTTGTAGATTGGTGATGTCAAAGATCCCACAGTTTATTTATGTAGTAGATTTTTTTTTTCACATTATGAACAACAGTTCAATGAACTACCTGTCATTTTACACTATGGAGAAGTTTCATAAACTGTATTTGTACAACACAGAAAGCAGTTTAATGAAATACATTTGTTTCTATAACATGGACAACAGTATAGTGAGCTATGTCTATTTTCACAACATGGACAACAGTATAGTGAGCTATGTCTATTTTCACAACATGGACAATAGTATAGTGAGCTATGTCTATTTTCACAACATGGACAACAGTTTAGTGAGCTATGTCTATTTTCACAACATGGACAACAGTATAGTGAGCTATGTCTATTTTCACAACATGGACAACAGTTTAGTGAGCTATCTCTATTTTCACAACATGAACAACACTTTAGTGAGCTATGTGTATTTTCACAACATGGACAACAGTATAGTGAGCTATGTGTATTTTCACAACATGGACAACAGTTTAGTGAGCTATGTGTATTTTCACAACATGGACAACAATTTAGTGAGCTATGTGTATTTTCACAACATGGACAACAGTATAGTGAGCTATGTGTATTTTCACAACATGGACAACAGTTTAGTGAGCTATGTGTATTTCTACAACAGTTCAATGAATTACACATCCTTGTAAAACATGAACACTAATGAGCTACACATATTTCTACAAAAAGGACAACAATTTAGTGAACTTTATGTATTTCTGCAACATGGACAACAACTAGGAACCAAAAAACAGAAGTTCATGTGTTGTATCAAGGATCTTGCCAGTTGTTCTACTGTGTGATGCACAACAAGATCAAAGCTATTTCCATTTTTGAATTTTAGAGTAACTGTAGCAATAATTTGCATATCTGATGTTATTAATAGTTGGTTTGTATTTAGCTGCACAATAAGATTGAATACGATGATATATATCAAGGTATGTTAAGGGATACAAGTGAAAATTATTTCTCTGGATTTGTGTAATGATATCAAAGGTTTAGTGAAACATACTAAGACAATACTTCAAAATGGGATTCTTTTTATTCATATTAACCAAAATAGTATTTAATTTTTAGGTAGCCTGTAAAACTTTTGATAAATTTAGGAACTAAGCTTAGAAATAAGGACTAAAGAATTTACTGAATCACAGAAGTTGATCATTTATGTTGGAATAATGATGTTTTAAGTGTGATCTCTTTTATAAAGATATTTGCAGAAAAAATATCAGTGGGACAAATATTTAGCAATGTTTTAGTGAGTGTGTTCTCTTTTTTTTTTTTTATTGTAACCTGTACATAAGATGAAATTTAAATAATTCATTAAAACTTTTTATAATTTTAGTAAAGTGTTTTATAATTTTGTTTTTTCTCATGGTATCAGAATATCATTACTTCTATTGTTCTCTTAATTTTACTTTGCAGAGAGATAAGATCAACAAATACGCTGTAAATGTAAAGTTGGCATGCTGTTTTTTACGTTTCATGTTGTAAGCTTTTATTTCTTATTTCAAACCCAACAAAAACGTTTGAGAACTAGTACTGTGGATATCATACATATTTAACATTACACATAGTAGGTTTTGTTTCCAGGACCTTCAGGAAAGAAAGAACAGGTGACGGAGTAAGTTAAACAATTTTTTTTTCTCAACAGATCTTTCATTTTTTGTGGTTTGTATATTTTGTTATTGGTCTGATCTTTAAATTTAATATGATATCTGGTTAAAAAGAATAAACATTTATTTTTGCTTTGAGCAAGAGTACGTGTGGTTTTGTCCACGAATAGTTGCTGTTTACGCCAAACGGTATAATTTTTTATTACATTTTTGAAAGTTAGAAATAATGTCGATTTTGTGTGTAACATATGGTTTCAGCTGAAGTAAGTGAAAGATAAACGCAAAGAATATACAACTGTATATTAGAAAAACGAATGGAACGACTATGGAACAAGATATCCGCAAGGCACTTTTCATTCAGCTCAACAAAGCCTGGATAATTCAGTTAATAAAACTTCAGAGAAGTTATTATTAAAGAACTATATAGGTATATTTGAAGCATATTAAACGTTATTATTAGATTTTAGTATTTTCTTGCATGTTACTCGACGTTAATCAAATGTACACGTTAAAAAGTCATTCGCTAAGATTTCAAGTGAAACGCATTAATCTGTGTGTTAAACTACTACTCGTCAGTTGTTGCATGAACTTATTTTCGAAACCATTATGTGTGATGTTACGTTGTTTCAAAATGAGGGGATCAAATAAAAAATATCCATCCAACTGCCAACCTACTATTACATTTTTTGATTGACAAAAGGGAACTTCCAATATGCAATAAATTAACGTTAAAATGACCACGAATTGTGTTAACTGCTGGTAAAGGACCTTCTTCTCATCCCTCTCTCTTTTTTAAAGTAAAACAGAGACTTAAAATCGTGAGATGAATTAGGGTAAGTACGAATGTTATGATTGCAGCTAACAATTTATTTAAAAGAAAGTAACTTTAATGTTAACTACTATTCGCAAGGGCAACGATATTTACTGAAAAGTGGATGGAAACCTGAACCTCTTTCAAAGGTCCAGGACTCGCTAATAACAAACATAAGTTTCCAACAAGAATAATAATACGAGTGTTATATTTTATCTTTAAAAAAGTAAACAATTTGTACTAGTTTTAGATATATGCTGGACTTGATTCCTCTCCTAGTTGCAATTAAAGATCAGTAAAAATCGGCTCGTTTTAGCTAAAAATAAATAAATCGCGCTTCGCACTTTGGGGTTGACTGTTCGTTGTAAGAGAGCGGCAGTTAAATTCCAATTTTCTATTAAAGTAACGCACGAGTTAGCAGAGATGGGTGATGTTAAGTAGTTCACCCTCCCCTAGTAGCTTTGCACAAAATTAATAGACAACAGTAAAAATCTGTCAAAAACTTGTCAAGGTCGTTGTTATGATTAGCTTATGTTGTTATATCCTATATTAAATAGGTTTATATACTAAAGTTTCGGCAAATAATCTGCCATCCTTAGGGAAGGATTATATACAGTGATGGAAATTGGGAATTCAGTTGTTGTTTTATCATCTTATGTGATCGTATAGGCTATTAACCATGGCAACGATTTCCTTAACGTTACCGTAAATATTAATGACTAAGGCATCTGTAAATTGAAAAATGACCAACACGATATATCCAAATATTTAATTTTTTACGAATTCATAACTGCGTGAGGGAGTTGTTGAATTTAACTTGAATTTTCAAAATTTTTGAATAGAATACCAGTTTTAAAATAGCAAAAATTTCAAAACCAGTGTTTACCGGGATCTTTTTTTAACAACACAGAAGAAGTTTTCATTATTTCCGAATACAAAGAAATGGGACGAAGTAAATTACTGAAATGTTTACATTGCTAAAATGGTTTCAGAAATATGATTCAGAATTTTAACTACATCGTTATAAAAAAATATCGAGAATACTTTAAATGGCAATTTCCCTAATTTTAGGATATTTTCTTAACGAAGAATGTTTGTATGAAAAATTCTAGTTTTAGTAGAGTTTTATTTAAATAACATAGTTGCCGATAGATGGCACAATCAATTTCTGTAATGGATGATTTTATGAAACTATAAAGATATCTAACATGCAGTTTTTAGCACGTCTGAAAGTTATGTGTAAATCAGGGGTTTAAAATTTGATGGCTTTCTATTATATGGTGGATATAAGCACCTTAAATGTATGAGCAAATTGCCAGTATAACGATCACTATTTTGTCAAATTCCGAGCTTCACGAAACGTGTAGAATCATTACAGCTCTCGGTTTTTGATCTTTTTACTTGTATTTGTGC